ACTGGTGGGAGGCAGACGGGGTGTCCCACCTTGCTGTTCTGTTATGGAACTGGGAGAGTTAAGCACCTGTGGTAGCTGTGCCTGGAGGTCAAGTGTGGTATGCTTGCCTCCACAGTTTTGGGATGTGTTAGCTCGTCTACAATGGTTGATCCTTGAAGCCATTTGTCTGCATATACACCGTTCTTGTAGCTTCTTTTAACCTGGAGTGAGGTTTGCTTTGCAAACTTCCATTTTGAAGGTCCTTAGACACCTTTTTTTCTCTTGGTGTTTCCAAAAGTACTGAATGTCACTGAAACCCAAATGGTTGTTCTCATTCAAGAGTTCTGGAAGTTTCTGTGTATGTCCACATGAGATGGCCTTCATTGTTCCTTATTTCTCCTTTGCTATTCATAAACAAAATGTACTTTTTAGGTCATTTTAGATTTATTAATGTTCAAACTGTTCCTGTTAGAAATCCATGGGAGACTTTTCTTGGCCACTTCCTAAACTAAAAAGTCAGAGAACCATATACATAGCTGTCATGCAGGAAACAGTTCTAATCCCGGGTTTCTGCAAGCCTGCGCTCAATACACCATCTGTGTAGTTTAGTGGTGTAAGCATCTCAGACAGCAGTTGTGGAAACAGTATCTAGAATCCAGAGCCCCAGAGCTCCCATCTCAGTGGCTAGCCTGCGTCCTTCTGATTATTGGTGGGGGGAGGCTTACAACATGGTTGCATCCATCTTTTCCTTCTTGCTACCTTAGAGATGGAGGGAAACCCCAGTAAAATATGGTCCCTAGACTGAAAATATATGATGATGGCATCCACACCCTCAACCCTCTTCTGAGTGTCAGTAGACATTGGATTAAGGAAGAAGCAACAGAGGACTAGGCAGGGCACTCCATCTCTACAACACCCATTCTTTCGAAACACTGGCCTTTTTATGTGCAAAAAGGAAGATATCTTAGGTATTTCCAGATACTGTTGCTTACTGACATTGTACCCCAGCACCACACAACCTTGGTTTTTATCTGTTAGGTGACCCCCTCTCTAGATCAGCAACCCTTGGGAGCTCCATTACCACTGCTCTCAATGGCGCCGAGCTTGTGAAGTAAGCATACAGGATGCAGAGACATTTGGGTAACCAGAGTCAATAATGGTTTAGTTATGTGCTGTGCTTGGTGTAGTATTATGTTCCAAGTTGCATGCAAAATGGGCATTTAGGCCATTTTAAAGAAAGAAAGCCTTGCTTAGCATTACAGTATGCAGCTGTCAGGAAGATCTTGAGTTCATAGCCAGCCTAGGCTACATGCATTGGAGGCCAACCTGGGTGCTGCAACAAGATTCTGTATGAGAGCCAAAACAAACAAACAAAAGTAAAATGAAACCACAAACCACGCACACATGAGGCGGGCGGGGCTTGTCTAAGATAAGAAGATGCACTTTGAAGTCAGGTTTTAAAAAAGTCTTCTTCATAGGCTTGCTAAAATTAAACTGAAATTCTGATTAGATTTTCATTGCGGCACAAACATCCTGGAGAGTACTGATATCCCAGTCATCTGGTTTGACCATATTACTTTTGTTGAATACAGATGGAAGGTCCTGTGGACAACAATATGCCATTCTAACTAGCTGAAACAACTCTTTTGGGTGGCAGTCAAAGAACTCCCCCAGGGAAGCCGCTGGGAAAAGCACTCCTTCCAGTTTTTAAGCCAAAGGTAAGTTTATTTCTTTCAGAGGCCGTCAGGACAGTGTTGGTGTGGATGCCACAGAGTTACAGTAGGCTCATTTTCTCCCCCACAGTCTAGTACAAGCCTTATTTTAATGATCAGAGATGGCTGCTAGAGCTCCAGCCATCACAACTGTACTCCTTAAACAGCAGGATGTTGGAAAGAAAAGATTAAACAGTTTCCTTTCTTCTTAGAAGAAAGGAATACTTTACTTTGTTTCCCTCTAGATTTTGCTTGTAGATAACTTGTAATCACCCTTGTAGCAAGGGAACCTGGGATACATAGTATCTACTATGAGATACAAAGTTGATTTATTTTTATCAAGGAAAAATAGAATACTGGATAGTGGAAGGAAGCTTAATTTCCCAGTCATTCTAAAATTTTAAAAAGTATTCTTTCTTCTTTCCCATCCCTGGTTTGCCTATCTCCTTCTATTTCTCAAACAGTTATTGCGCATTTCTATAAGTTCTACTCTTTCTAATTATACAGCAAGGAAGGTATTGAGGCAGCTAGTGGCTGTCTTGGCTAGTTTTGTGTCAACTTGACACAAGCTAGAGTCATCTGAAAGGAGGGAACATCCCTTGAGAAAATGCCCCCATAAGATCCTCTGCAGGGCATTTTCTTAATTAATGATTGATGGGAGAGAGTCCAGCCCATTGTGGGTGGTGTTATGCCTGGGCTGGTCGTGGGTTCAACAGGAAAGCAGACTGAGCAAGCCATGAGGAGCAAGCCAGTAAGTAGCACCCCTCCCTGGCTTCTGCATCAGCTCCTGGGCCTCCAGGTTCCTTCCCTGTTTGAGTTCCTGTCCTGATTTCCTTAGATGATGAACAGTGATATGGAAGTATAAGCCAAATAAGCCCTTTTCTCCCCAAGTTGCTTTGGTTATGGTGTTTTGTCACAATAATAATAACCCTAACTAAGACAGTGGCCCATTACGGAAGTGTATCCAGGGATAGATAGACATGATCAGAGGGAGTCTGTCTGGTGGGAAGGCAGGTGATTCAGTCTTATTTCCTTGGAAACTTATGGACCCCTGGATCTTCTGGAGTTTTCTAATAGTTTGAATTAAGAGTCCTTATCTGTGGAATTCTCTTAGCAAGATAGCCCTTCTTGGGATTACTTACTGTGATGTCAATTTCTATTGCTAGTTTGATTGGATTAAGGACCCCAATCTCCCCAACATTAGTGAGGCCCACCTTTGGTCATATCCCTGAAGTCCCATAAATATGGGCAGCAGTAAACCGTGAACTGGCGTCTCAGACTAAATGAAATGGGGAGAAGAAAGCCATCTGAATGTCTGCATTCATTGGAGTCCTGACTTTCCGGTGCATAGGAGGACCAGCTGCTTCTCTCGGTCACTGTGCCTTTTCTGCCATGATGGACTCCACCCCCTCAAACCCCAAGACAAAGAAAACCTGCTCCTCCCTTAGGTTGCCACTTGAAGGTATTTGGCCACTACAGAAAGAAAAGTGACTAAGGTCTTAGGTAAATTCCTGAGATAGTCTACTTTTAAAAAGAGGTTTCAAAAAAATGGATGTTTCCTGCCATATATATATATGTGTGTGTGTGTGTGTGTGTGTGTGTGTGTGTGTGTGTGTGTGTGTTACAGTTTTACATTTACTAGTCTTTTATTTTGGAGCAAAGATTATATTGCTATGAGAAAACCTGGGAGCCTTTGGCTTGTACCAGCCAACCTCCGCTTTATCAATGCCTCTGAGTTTCTTGAGATTCAACGTTTTCAGTTTGATGATTTGTGAATGTTCTGACCTGAGTCTGATTTGACAACGTGGCCCCTGCCCGAGTTCATAGTGAAAACTCTCTGACTTACAATCTGCTCTGAGTTCTAACTGTTCTTTCTAGCTACTTGCTGTAAGTGTAGTCTAAATATTTTATCAATACCTCAAATCAATATATCAAATAATAATAAATATTTTGTATGCCTCCTAAATCAGCTCCAGTCCTAGACGTTCCAGTTCCCCAGACTTAAAGCCATGATCCTCTCCTTCTCCCTTACTTAGGCTTACTTGAGACTCGTGGCCCATATGTACCCCAGGATAGCATAGAATGAGCCCAACACATTTGTGTGTGATACCGTCCTATGACCATGTCAAAAAGCTAGGCACCCCCCCAACAAGATCCACTCCAGCGGTCTCCTTTATTAGTGTGCTTCCAAATCAGTCTCTCTGCTTCCTGTTTTGGCCACCAAACCTTCTGTGGTGGTTTGAATAAGAATGGCCCCCATAGGCTCATATATTTGAAGGCTTGGTCATCAGGGAGTGGCACTACTTGAGAAGGATTAGGGAGTGTGGCCTTGTTAGAGCAGATATGGTCTTGTTGGAAGAAGTGTGTCACTGGGGGTGGGCTTTAGCCAGGCCCAGTGTCTTTTTCTCTTCCTGCTGCCTTTGGATCCAGATATAAAACTGAGCTATTTTTCCAGTGCTGTGTGCCTGGAGTGCTGCCTTGTGCCACCATGCTTCCTGCCGTGATGATAATGGACTAAACCTCTGAAAGTGTAAGCAAGCCCCAATTAAATGTTCTCCTTTGTAAGAGTTACCTTGGTCATGATGTCTCTTCACCGCGATAGAACACTAATTAAGACACTTTGCAAGATAATAGTTTTCTTATAGCACATGAGCATTTACATTTCTATTAGGGAGACATGGCAAAGGAGGCATATCATCAAATGTAACTAAACAACGATAAAAAAGAAGCAGATACAGATGTGATAGATGAAAGTGTAAAGTGTTTTCAGGCTGCATTCATCACCTGACTTGTTGCTGTGACTAAATTCCCAACAAAGGCAACTTAAGAATGAAAGGCTTTATTCTGCCTCACAACGTGGGAGTATAAAACCCATGGGAGTCCAGGAGGGAGGGCAGCTAGGGGTATGTGACAGAGTGTGAAACTGAGTCTCAGTGGGCAGAGGAGCAGAGAGGGGCGGGCACTGGTGCTCGGCTGGCCTTCTGCTTTCCCCTTCTCATTTAGTCCAGGCCCACAAGTCATTAAATGGTGCACCCACATTCCAGACAGGTCTTCCCTCCTTCACTAACCCTCTCTGGGAAGCTGTCACAGACAAACCAAAGCGTATCTTCTTGGTGTTTATTAATACAGTCAATTCATAATTCAAATCAACTGTCACACAAACTCCAAAAAACAAACAAACAAACAAACAAAAAAACCAGAGTATTCTGAAGTGGTTCTCGCTCCAGCCTTTGAAAGCACCATGAGGGATAAGGGAGGACTGTGCTGGCCCTTAACTATATTTACTATGTTTTTCAGGTTTTAATTTCTTTCTCACAGGGACCACAGTTTCAATGCTGTGGGGAAAACCTTTGCTCATCAGAAGCAGAAAAATGTTTCTGGTCCTGTGACACAGTGTTCCCTTTTGTTTCTCTATGCTTCGATCCTCAAGTTCAAATCCTGCCTCATTCACAAACTTATCAGTCTTGGCCTCCCAGGGAAGGACATGAACTGGCTCTGGGCAGTCTCTAAACTCCGGCATCCTGAAGGTGTGGACATTCGGGCAAGCATGGAGTCATGCTCGTTCTGCATCTCAGGGAAGGGAAGCCAGGTTTTGTTCTGTTACATTCCTAGAGGCCTGAGGCTAAGCTAGGTAAACAGAGCCATCAGGAACAGCTCTTAAGTCACTCTCCCTGAGCCTTGGAGCAGCTGTGACAGGCTGTGAGGTCCAGGGTTAAATGAGCTAAAACTTGGCTTGCAAAGGAGCCAGGAATGTCTCTGCTAAACTCCTTAAGGGTCTCCAGAGAAGGCCAGGCAGGTTGAAGAGACATCTCAAGGATTCTTGGACAGAATCCCCTCTCGAAGATGTTGTGAACCCTGCACCAAGGAATTCTGTGATAGAAGAATGCTAGGCTCAGCAATCTTGAGTCTAACTGGCTCTCACAGTGTCCAGCTGTGCCACATTGAGCTCCATCACGTCCATCCTCCTCACCCCCAGCCCCCCGCCATCTCACCCACCTACTGCACTTCAGTTTCCACAACTGTAGAATTCCAGTTTTAAACCTGATATTCTCACACTCTAGGAAGGAGAATTGGACTCTTCTCTGCAACCAGGTTACAAAAAAAGATCATGCTTTTCAAGCACAGTAGTCAGATGTCTAATCTGTTCCCCTCCCAAGTGCTCCAGCTTCTTTGTCCATAACAAGCATGGCTCTTGCTTCATGCTTGAGAGGATGCTGTGGTGACCACCACATCACCTGTTTTAATGTCTTTGATTTAAGACTTTATGTTGTATTACCTCTCTTAGTTATGGAAATGGTATGCTTTTGCAAAATCATATCTATATCCTTCTGCTTGAGATATCTGCATATCTCTTTGAACACTGAAAGTATTTAGAGAACATAAAAGAAATATCGGTCATGAGTGTCATCTTTTGGGGCTTACCCCTAGTCGCTTTTTTGAGTGTAAGGGTTTTTGTTGGGTTGGTTGGTTGGTTGGTTGGTTGGTTGGTTGGTTGGCTTTGAGAAACCCGTTGTCTGAGCTGTTAGCCCCAGGAATCTGTATGCAGCACTGAGTCTTCGGTCTCTCCCTCATTCTCCCTGCCGGTGTGCACACTGGGCCTGCTCACAGGTTTACTCCTAAAGTTGCCATAAATGGGACTACAGACATCAAATCTTAGTACTCGGGTGCTGAAAAGTATTCTTGTCTCCACCAGCCCAGACTCAAGGAAGAAGGCACATCCATCAGCCATAGCTCCTGATGGAGATGGGGAGCTCTTGGCAAAAGCAGAATGAGACAGCACTGTTCTCACAGTTCCTGTGATCACGGAATCTACTCGATGTTATCTCAAAGATCATCAAACTAGAGCTCGGGGAAGGATGGGAGGGGGCGAGGAATGACAGGCACAGTCGGTGATCATCTGTGTACATCTACTGGTATTCCATTTGATAACAACCATTCACCATAAAAATCACAAGCAAACACTAAGATCTGGAAGTATTACAGACAGTCAGATAAGTGAAATTTTGATACATTTAGGCTGAAAGGCAGAAGAGTTCACATGTTATGGATTAAAACAATTTAACAGAGTCAACTCTCGTTTAGCCCTCGTAGTAGGAACAGTGAACACAATCCCAGTCAATTATACCATCTAAGCATTTCTAAATCCCCAAATTAACTGAGCCATTTTATAAAGTAATATGTGGTTTTCTTCTAAAAAATAAGAGTCTTTGGGTCTGGTTAATCTTAGTGTATAGTTTTCTTTTCTTTCTGTCTTTGCAATATTTTTGTAATAAAGTTTAAAATTAAAAATAGGGCTTTTGTCCCTCTGTGTTTAATTTAGGTTTTTAGTTTAATGAATTTTTATCCTCTGAGAGAATTCTAATTTAAAGTAAGGTAAATCTGTCGGGTACTGAATGAAAGTAAATAAATGGGTCTTTGAAATGTGTTTTCTGGGAAAATAGACAATTTAAAAAAAAACCTTTATGATCAAAAATAAAGTTGCCTGTATTTGGAGAGAAAACACACATGGGTGTCACCCAGTCTTATTAACGCCTTGCCCTTTAATGAAATCCGAGGAAAGAGCGTGGCCACTCTACAGCTCTGTATACTCATTGGAACAAAAGCAGGCTGAGAGGCATTGTTCATGCTGATGGGGAACATGTGTGTGATGATGGTATGTGAGGATGATCTGATTCTAGGAGCACATGTGGGAAGGTAGTCTACTTGGCAACAAGGATGCTCTGATCTGGAATCTACCACTCCTGACTGGAGACCATGTACCACTCCCTTTACGTATCTGCCTCAAAAGCTCGTGGTCCTGTTTGTATCAGTGTGCTCTGAGAAGCATAAGAAAATAATCCACATGAAGAACATTGAGGGGCGATGTTGATGAGGCTGATGGATCTGTACATAAGGTGCATATATACAAGTTTTCCTTTGTCCAGGCACCCACAGTTGCTAAGTTCACTGTGGTGGTGGCGGTGGTCGGGGTGGTGTGGCAGCGGTGGCAGTTGTTATTTTCTATTCAAATTGTTAAAGGCGTGTCTTCCACATATTATTTGATTGATCTCACAACAATTCTAAAAAGTTTCTTTGTCTTCAGAAGGCTCATCTCAGGTCTGTGTAGACAACAAAGTCAAAGCTGGACCTCAGATCTTCTCAGGCTAGAAGTGTAAATGCCAAATTGAGGAGGCAAGTTACCAAACTTTCATAAGTCTGTGGGGTCACTAGAGCTGCCTGTTGGGCCAACCTCTTTTTCTGAGTGTCCAGGGGTGCCACTGACAGGCAAGTCTTCATTCCCACTGAAGAGCAGAGATGTGGTGATTTCTCCCAGGTCACCTTCATTTTAAAGGAGCAGCAAGTCTGAATCTGCAGAATCATGACCAAGCCAAGATTCAGGCACCAGTGGCTAAGAAATCTTTCTCCCAATCATACCAGTGAGGCAACCTCATCAAATAGGCTCTTGGGCTGAAACCTCATATTTGAGAGCAAGCAGGAATGGGAAAGTGAGGTGCTAGGTTTTCCTTCAAGGGTTCTATGCTCCATAAGCACAAAGGCATGAAGACTCTAGGGGAAGTGTAAGTGGTCCAGGCCACAGTGGCTGAGAGATGGAACCACAACATCTTTTAACCTGCACAAATGCTTTCGGAGGTCCCAGCTGACTCTTCCTCTTTACCATCCTTTCCCCTGCAGTGAGTAGACCATGAAGTGAGGGAACCATGTTCTCATGAGCCCAGACTTGCCCTCTCCATATGACTCAGAACTCCAAATTCCCTAGCCAAATGGCACTCAGAGTCCATGCAGCTTCTCCCCAAGTCCATTCTTCAGAGAAGCCCCCCACTGTCTAATGCAGAGCTCTAGGCCTAAGAGGTGGCTGTAGGTTGGTGGGGGTGGTGGTCAGAACTTGCCCATGGGTCCTGGCATCTCCACACATGCATTTGAGTCCCTCCCAGCGGGAACCTCTTCTGTACTCTTGCTCCAGGCTTGCTAATGCTGGGACTGAAGGAAAACCCAAGAGTACTGCTAGAGGTGAGCTAGCACCACATGTGGCTCGGGTGAGTCCTGCCTACCCTGCTCTGCCTTCTATTCGGAAACTCTCTTCAGACACTCGGTACCACATTCCCTTGCTATAATCCCCAGTTCATTTGTCAAATAAATGATTTTCACTGGTATCTGCTCTTTGCAAAAGTTAGGTATTCAATGAACGCTGACCACTGGTGACAGTGTCTCAGACATCCATTTCAGAAATTCTACACTTTGGTGTTCCTTGAATAGTACACCTAAGTGGTTGTCTCTTTCCTCTGCCATTGCAGAAAAACAAGTTCTTCGTTGCTGTGAGCATCGAGGCGCTGTGGTACCATTTTGCTTATTTCAGTCTGATGCAGTCCACTTCCTCAGTGGCGGGCATCCCCGTGGTCCTGAGGTCCAGGTCAGCGCTGGCTTTGCTCCCGCTGGGAGAGGCCCTCCACTGGAGCCGCAGGATCCTCTTGAGGTACTTGCAGGTGTTGTTCCTGACCGTCACGAAGCACAGCGTGTTGATCATGCTGTTGCTCATGGCGATGCACTCCACTACATAGAAGGCGGTGAGGTAGTGCTTCTCCTTCACAAACACGGAGGGGAAGAAGTCGCGCACAATAGTGAAGCCGTAGAAGGGCGCCCAGCATAGGACATAGGCCGAGAGGACGCACACAAGCCCCAGAACGGTCCTGCGGCGGCAGCGCAGCCTCCGGCGGATCTGCTCTGTCTGGAAGCCCGGCACCGCCTTGAACCAGAGCTCCCGGGACACCCTAGCATAGCACAGGGTCATGGCGACCACAGGGCCCACAAACTCGAGGCCGAAGATGAAGAGGAAGTAGGACTTGTAGTAGAGCTGCTGGTCCACTGGCCAGATCTGGCCGCAGAAGATCTTCTCCTGGCTCTCCACGATGACCAGCACGGTCTCCGTGGTGAAGTAGGCGGCAGGGATGGCGATGAGGATGGACACGGACCACACCAGGAAGATGAGGCCCGCGGCTGTTTGACACTTCATTCGCGGTCTCAGTGGGTGCACTATGGCCAGGTACCTGGGCAAGAACAGAAGAGGAGTCAGCCGCGGAAGGAGCCCGCCTGTGATACTGGATGTTACCTGAGGGAGACGCTTGGGGCGAGGGCTCTGCAGCAAACCTCAGCTCCACCTCCAACTTCTCCTCCTCTCGGCTTTCTCATCTGCCCAAGTATTTGGGTGGTTTAAAGATTAAATGTGATAATGAATACACTATTCCTAGCTAAGTTTTAAACCTGTCATATACTGGGGAAAATTACTTTTAAATGTAGTAATTATAGTTCCCACAGGTCTCTGGCCAGGCAGTGGTCCATCAACCCTCCTAAGGCCTGTAAGGCTCCAAGTTAAGTAGGCCCGACAACTCCAACTTGAATTGGTTGATAGGAAAAACCACCCTTTCCAACCAAAGCACGGGCCAACGTTTTGTTTCCATTCCAGGTTTTAGAAAGCATTGTTCTGCACGCAGAGAGGAAAAGTGTATTTACCTCATTTTCCACCTGGAAAGATACAGGCTGTTGAAAGATGAGGAACTTTCTCAAGGTTATAGAACACAAGACCCTTGGCAGAAAATGTTTAGACCCCAGCTCACAGCGCTGATGTGAAAATCAATTAGCGTATACAGAACTTTTTTTTTTTTTGTTTTCAACCACAAAGCATCAGGCAGTAAAAGATGCTGCTTTTGTTCGCTCCAAAGAGCCTACGCTGTTACCACAGTGGTCCAGGAAGCAGAGAGCACTTTATGAGGCTGTGAGTCACCCGGGTGGTATGATGGCACCCTTCCCAGAGTGCACACTTGTGTGGAGAGCTCTGGCTTCCTGGAAGGCTTTGCAGAGCTCGCAGGGTTGGGAGAAGGATGGAAGCGGAGTGGAAAGGACCGACGAACACCAGGAACAAACTCTTTTGTGTCCATAGCTGATTCCAGGCAGAGTCAATGGCAAGGTGAGAGGGCCCTGAAGGAGAGCCAGGCCGATTCTGTTCCCTTTGTAGACAACCCCTTTGAGGTCATCTTTCTCGGGACTTTGATGTGAAGAAAGGTCCCTTCTTGTGTTTTTCTGACTGAATTTCACAAGTAATCATCCCCCACTGGGCGAACCTGGAGGAACCTGGAGTGAGACCCTGTGTTCTCCCAGCTCTCAGGAGTCTGAAGAAGCCGGATAGGGCATGTTGACCCTCTGGACACCCCAGATAGCTGCTGCAGGCCACCAGCACGCATCCCTGGAACTCCAGGCAACTTCTCAGTGCTGGAAAACTGGAACAGGATTATGTGCACTGTTGGCATTGTGCATACATGGACCCTTCGTAGCAGCCATCATGCTGGCTGGAGTGTGGCTCAGTGGTAGAGTATTTGTCTCGTCTCATATGCAGAGGCTCTGGGTTCACATCACATCAACACACACACACACACACACACACACACACACTGTGCCATCTCTTCGTTACTAAGTTGTGATTAAAATACTCTGACAAAAACATCTTAAGAAAGGAAGGGCTCATTCTGCCTCACAGTTGGGTCTACAGTCCATCCATCATGGCAGGGAAGTCACGGCAGGGGCTTGAAACCACTGGTCACATCACATCTACAACCAGTAGAGTGATGAGTGCCAGTGCTCAGATTGTGTTAACCATATTACACAGTAGATCCTCACCCAGGCAATGGTCCCACCCAGTTAACGCTATTGTCACGGATACACGAGCCAACAGGCAAAGAGCAGAACACTGTTCTGGAGAGTTCCATCCATCGGCCTTGGCTCTGGAACTCCAAATTAGTACGAAGTTTACAATAGCAAGCCCATACTTTCATTTAGGTTCTCTCAACCCTACCAAAGGTATAAAAGAGCAAAGATGCCCATTTGATGGAGAGGCCATCACCGGAAGCATGAAGAAGTGGAACGATTTATCGAAAGCTGTACAGCTTGTTGACCCACATCTTTCCAGAAACCCCATGTTCTCTCTACCATGCCATCTGCTTCCTCCCTTCCCAGCAGGATGGGGCATGCTCCCTTCTCCCTGACCTTCACCAGATCTTAGCAACCCATCTCTTTTCTCTCTACCACAGACTCGTTTTCTACCTACACCATCCCTCGAGGCAGTCAGACTATTGGCAGTTCCTCTGCTCTCTCTACGAGCGTGGCTTTACTTGTGCTGTGTCCACCGCTGCAGGGTGTAAGGTTCGGATCCACCCAGAGCCAACAGTTCCTAGAGAACAACAAATAAAGTCTACCGGGGTGCAGTGGTGGTATGATAACCGTGGACTGGGTGCTTCAGTTGGGAACTCCATGTCTGTCCTCATCCAAGGTCTGACATGACAATGGCCATTGAAGAATCTACCAGGCTGGCCATGGCATGGTAACAGACCCCAAGTGATGAACTCGTCAGGGGCATGTGTGCTTTCAGAGCCTGGACAACAAGTCTCAACACCAGTGGACACACACCCTGGCTGGTTTCCTCAGCACAGCGGGCCGGGGGAAGAGGAGGCTCCCAGCATTTCCTAAGCAGCAGACCAGAATGTTACAGACACCTCAAACAGTGTGGCTGTTTCCACATCAAAGAGGAGGCCCAGAGGCCCTGCCCAAGGGCTGGGGTGGGGGTGGGGACTTCTTGCAGGATCTTGCCAACCCCTTCCTTGAGGTTGTCATCGTCTGGTGGAGTTTTATGTCTTCTGAAATATGACCCCATCCTTTTTGATCACTATTCTGAAGAGTCAGTCCCTGGTTCACATGCTTCCCCTAGACTCCGCCGCTGTCTCTGGAGGGATCCCTCCTCCTGGCTTCCTCAGACACTGCTCTGGCCTCTTAGAAGACTTTTTGGTGATCATTTGTTGATGACCACGTTAAAGTCTACCTCCTCTGCACCACCTCTTTCGTCCACTGCACACCGCTCTTCTCCAAACTTCACTGTAAACATAACCTTGGCTTATTATCTAACGGCTTTGCCAGTCTTAGTTCGTTGCCTTGAATGATCTTTGGCTACCCCTTTGCTCACGTTTGCCGTCTGTGAGTTTGGGGCTAGTTTTAATAACTTTGATAGAACTTTACCCTGTCCATGGTTTGGTACTTTGTGAACAAAAACTTTCATTGCCTAAAATACCTTTGGGGGAAAGGGACAAAGATGTGTTTACTTAGTCTGAGACTGAGATGCAGTGTGGGGCTACGCAATAAAATGCTGGAAATGCAGTAGGAGAGTCGGGGCTGAACTTTGCAGAAAGGTGTGACTCAGTGAGACATGTTGCTTTTGACAGGACATTTCATCCCAGTCCACAGCTTGCAAGGTTCGGAATATGTATCAGTTATTTCAGCAAGAAACCAGTTATGTTCAAGAAGATTCTGTGGGCTACAGCCTCGCTCACCCCCCTTAAGCCACAAAGCCTTCTCTCTGTTCCTGGAACCTTGGAGTCTGTTCCTGCCTCCAGGCTTTTGTGCTTACAAATCCTGTTATCCGAGACACTTTCTCTCAACCCTCACAAAGTGAACCTTCCGGTCACTCCTGGGTCATCCGAATGTCTTCTCAGAGACACCCCTCCTGACTCGTCTACACTATCTCTCCATCTCCATCATTCTTGATGTTTCTGCTGGTGTGTTTCTCCATTATTTGTTGTTGTTTCAGTTTGGGTTTTTTGTTTGTTTCTCACTTCTGAACTCACCTCCCACAGTTCTTTGCCTGACCGAGAGCTCTCTTCATCCCTTTGGCTTCATCAGGGGTGAGATACTTTACTCTGTTTACCACCATATCCCCAGCCTTTGGAATAGTATCCGGCACTGAGCGGTCATTCTACAGAGACACTCTTTTTGAAAGAGTGCATGTATACATGAGTGAATAAACGCTAGGATGGGTCTGGCAGGGGGCAGCTGGGCAGAACCAAGAGACACCTTAAGCAGAAGATCAATAGCCGAGGAAGACTAAGACCATCCAGCCAAGTGAGCCTTCGCAGGAGCAAGTGTGACCAGGACAACTGATCAAATGCTTTAGAACAGAGACTGGCCAGGACAAGAGGAACTTTCCAGCCTTGATGCCTAGAAGGACAGTGAAAGCAAGAAGAGAAACACTAAATCCGTGCTGCTAGCAGATAAACTGTTCTGTGAGGCCATGCTTGAGAGCCCAGTTCCTAGCCTTAGATTGTGATTTGTCCATCATAAAAACAACCCTTAGCCCACTGGAAACCCTCCAGCTTATTCAGTTTTTTTTTGTCATGTGGTCTTTTTAATATTCACTTAAGAACCATGCTATCTGCTCTTTATTCGGTGTTGGATCTGACTTCACATTATTCTGTCCAAGCATAGCAGTACATGCCTGTAATCCAAGCATTCTGATGCATGAGGCAGAAGGAATTTTGAGTTCAAAGTCATCCTGAGCTTTACAGTGAGACCCAGTCTCAAAAATACCAAGACAGAAAAAGAAAATACCTTGTATTGCAGATATGATTGCATTCAATTTTCAAAGCAACTGAGTACACGAGATTCTCTTACTGTCCTCAAAGCCTGAGGCAGGAAGAAGGCAGATAACCAGTAAGCAGGGGAAAGCCCCACAGTGAGTGGAGGGCACCAGCAGGTTCAAATCAAGCACACATTAACTATTCCTGCAGAAATATCATAACAAAATAAAGACATTCTAACAACGAGGTGTCTATTTGTTATACAGAGGTTAAAAGCTAAGAAAATCAAACCTGAAAAATCACTATGTTTTGAATAGCTCACAGGAAAAAAAATTAATGACTACTGAACCACAAATCTGAAATTAGATGACAGCAACATAGTAAAATAAAAACCATCTGGGGCAAAGATTACAAATATCAGTTTAAACAAGAAAAACTAAAGGTGCTGGGGTAGTGAGTCACCTAAAGTCACCTAAAACTAAGGAAGGCCAGCACCTAGGGTTTTACCCCACAGTTGCGTGCAAATTTCCAGTCAGAAGGCCACTCTAAGCACCAACAGCTCTCCCCAGAGCAGAGCAGGACCTGATTCATCTTTCTTAGCGTGTCTAGTTTGCGCTGTGCAGAGAGATATATACCGTGTTTCAAAGCATCAGAGGTGGGTGTGAAAATGGGATATGTGCTTGAGCTGCCTTGAGGACATTGATCCTGTGTCATGGTTCATCCATATGCCTGTTAATAGCTCCTCAGTACTCCTCAGTTTGTCCCGGCTTCTTTCCCCCACGGTTGTTAGCCCTCTCCGTAGTGAATGGATCTCACAGAGAAGCAGGACTCTGTCACAGCAGGCTCCCACCTGTCCTTCTTCTAGTACCTGTGAGCATCTTCTGGGTAAAGCTGTGTCACTAATGTGAAAGTCCAGGAAATGACCCCGTATGTTTTGTCCTGTTCCCGTGCTAAGAGACAAGGCAGCATTTCCATTGTCAAGGAATGCCAGAGGCAAGCTGCAGGAGCCTGCCCTGGGCAGCCCTGAAAGTCACGTGGGAAGCAGATGGCGTGGCTGACACTATCCTCTGCTAGGTTGCTTTGGATTCCTTGCTTAAGTAAGTGGGCAACTGCCCCAAGGTTGGTGACTTATATTGAGGACCTCAACATCCCTGTTACGGGGACAGACCAGGGGCCCACCAGCTGCTGGCTCTCTGACATCCTCTGGGGAAAGGAGACATGAGCTCTGCCCCTCAGTGGTCTTAAAGCCAGGCTCTTTGGTGTCCCTTTCCTTAGAAACTGACCTGTCACGGCCTTCCCACCCCCAGATGTACTGCCGGAAAACTTGCTCCTTTGCTCTGACTTTTGAGCCCAGGTCAAACACCCCAGAGCCCTGGGGCCTTGGAACAAGGAGAGCCTGTGCTTTGGGCTCTCTGGATGAAGAGGATGGCAAGCTGTCTCAAGGTACATGGAAGCCTGCTTAGCCCCTCAGGGCAGCTGTCCATAGACCATAGCAAGGTACTTTGTACTCAGAGTCAAATGCACCAAGAAGCTTGCAAAGACTCCCTGATCACGGTGATCCTGGCTCATTAGCACAAGTTCCTACCAAGTGAAACATCTAAGAATAAGAAAGACATGCAGAGGCTGCTCCCACTGCCCTCACTCCCCATCTCTAGAGAAGGTCTTGTACTGTCGCATGATGGGTGTGAAGTGAGGCGGGATTCAGAGAACACTAACAAAAGTAAACAACCACATGCTCTCTTTCTGACCCTCCAACTTTTTTATGCAAAACAACTCCCCCAAGCTTATTTAAAAACCAGTTAGTGCCGGGATGTCACAGCTAAAGAGAGGACGTCTAGATGAGATGGGGAATTCCCTCCAGATGTTCACGCAAGAAGTAATTCCTTATAACTTAGCCCCACCCCTCCACACTTCCTCCCACCTGTCTAAGCTGTGATCAGGCCTATCTAGGAGAACATCCACAGACCATGATCAAAGACTTTCCTGTTGTCCAACTCAGGCCTCAGCTGCCTCCAGCCCTGAGAAGGCTGGGTGCTCAGTCAGTGAGCTTTTGAGTCCCCATGGGTCCCATCTATGGGGACTACAGATGTATGTCATCACCATGCAACTACAGGAAAGAAAGGGACAAAGCCAAGCCCCTTTCTGTGTGTACCTTTGTGTCACTCACCTGTCAACGGCAATGGCCAGGAGGGCATTAGTGGAGACGTAGAGGGAGACAGTACGCAGGTAGTTGACCGAGGCACACAGGACATGGCCGTGCTCCCAGGAGAGCTGCCGTACCACATAGTAGTCCATCTCAAAGGGGCAGCACACAATGGCCACCAGGAAGTCCGAGATGGCCAGGTTGGCAATAAGCAGGTTGGTGAGATTGCGAAGCTTTTTGTAGCGGGCCAGGGTAATGATGAAGATGAAGTTGCCGATGCCACACACCAGCATGATACCCACCAAAGCCATGCCAATGACGATCTTGGCGGCAAAGAAAGTCTGAGAATTGGTCACATCCTCCTCTTCATCCAAGGGTGTGTCATAGTCGCCATAGCTGAAAGTGAACGGCGAGGAAGCAGTTTGAGCTCCGTGGGCATCGAGTGCAGAAAGGAAGCTGGTGGAAGTGTCCGTGGTATTCTCACCCACAGCCCCCACGGTGGTCTCCATCCAGGCAGGTGCTGCCATGAACACCAGGGGGCGCTGTACCGGAGCGGCAGCTCCAAGGCTCTTAATGCTTCCTGGGTGAGTCAGATCTTCTTGACCAGGACGTGAGGGGCACAGTCTCTGAGTTCCATTTTAAACCTTTGAAAGACATACACACGGTTGGCTACATGTTGGAGTGAACCTGGGAGAGTTTAAAATTATCCCCAAACCTATGCAGATCCATTAGCCACCTGCTCACCGTACACTCAGCTAATGGATGGAAGAAAGGGGCCAGTGAGAGAACACAAGAGAGGGGAAACCACATTTCCACTCAGCTGGGGAAGGCTGGGGGACTGCGGAGACAGACTCTAACTCCATTTATTTCCACCCCAACGGAGACCGAAAAACGGTGCTCTTCCTCCAAGACCAAGGCTGTGAGTGTGGGAAGGCGGAACTGAGAGGAGACCTGCTCCAAACCCCAGGCCCCTGTCTGACGGCCTGAACTCTATCCCCGAGGAACAGTCTCATTCTGCAATAACAACAGCTGCTTCCCACATCTGGAAAGAAAGGACATATCATGGGGGTCTGCAAAACACAGCTGCCAAACCACAGAGCCCTGAACATGGAACCCTCCACGGAGAACTGAACGTGGGACCCCGTCCACAGAACCCTCCAGCAGCCGCTTCTCCTCACCAAGATTCCTGTGCCCATGTCAAAGTCTGCTGTGACTCTATAAGGCTGGCACATTATGTGCCAAGGCTTGTCCTAGGCAGTGGTCACAGGGGCACAATCACAGGCTGTCACCTAGCCTAGAGGGTTAGAAAGGAGACCTGAGGGCAAAATCCCTGGGTGAGTGGCGTGTCCTCCAGTTAATAGCTTAAACACGCAGGGTTTTAACATCGCCCAGGCAGATCAATACTGTCTATAAAGCTCAGAGCTGTTGGAGAGGCAGTGTTACATCCCAGAACCACAGGAGTCAGTATCAGGCCTCTAGGCCAGCTCTAAGGAAGGGAGGGAACCCGGATCAGAGACCAGCTTCCCACAGAGCAGGGCAGGACGAGAGGGTCTGTCAGTAGGGAATCTCTTCTCTGCCCCCTGACTTTTTCCCTTACACGCCTCCCAAGACATGAAGACATCAGACCAGGGAACTGGATCCGGGAGAGGATTGGGGTCTGGAAAGCACTCTAAATGTCAGAAGGGAAGAGGATAGACAAACCTCAGATCCTAGCACAGGGAGAAAGTAAGTTTTCCCCAAGATGATACCCCCAGGAATCCTGCTGTCCAGTAGAGGACACGGCCGAAGTCCCTCCACACCCTGGAGGCTCATCCCACCTGCTCCATCTCAGTTCTCCATCTCCTTCTCTCTTGGCCAGCTCAGCCCCCAGCTCTGCTCCAATCAGATAGGAGGGAGAACCCAGAGCCCAGAGGCCAGTGGACCCAGCTGCGAGCCCAGGAATATCCCTTCTGAGGGATACCCCACAAGCATGCTGCCATCACCGCTCCATGTCAGAATTTAAAGAAAGGGTCCAGAATCGCCTAAGATGGTTAGAGGACTTGTCCCACAGTCTTTTCTGGAACTGTCCTCGACTGTGTGGAGAAGCCCACTACCCACTGTCTTGTGCTGCTGGGACTTCAGTCCTGAGGGACCCTCTCCTGCTTCACCTAAGGCTGTGAATCGGGGGCAGTCTGGGCTCCGTCCACTCCCTACGCGTGGTTCTCTGAGCTCCTCCGGGACCGTTGGTACCTGTGAACCAAGGCGAAGACAGTCTCTCCCCCAGAAGCTCCGTAGCAAGGGAAAGTAGCCCTTCTGTCTTCTGAGGGTCTTTTCAGGCTCGGGTGGCAGCTGGGTTCCTGCTACCTCGGCGGACTCTCAGAGCAGCGGCTGAGGCCAGCCCGCCCCGCCCACGGCGCACTGGCCCCGCCCCGATGTTCCTGCCCACAGTCAGTGATCTCCCTCCCACACCGGCTGTCCCCGCAGCGTGCTTACCTTCCCGTCCCCTCTGTCCTCACCCCTCACTCACTACCCCCCACCCTGGAGACCCCTGAGCTCCTCCGAGATGAGCCCCTGAATCGGCCGGCTGTAGTTGAATCTGCTGGAGTGTCTGGATGCAGAGGGGTCACAGGATGCTCCGTGTGTCGCCTGAGCGCCAACTCTAGGACTAACCCGCACACGGAGAGCAGGTTGTGCCTGCCTTGAGCACTCAGCACCTCGGGCTCACCTGTCTGGCCCATTGCCGCCCAAGTGGGCAGGCTGGTCACGGGAGCTTGACGCCTTCAAAGGACAGAGAATCTCTTGCCCAGTTACTCTGCCTGAGGACCCGGGACGGCTCAGACCTCACCTCTGGACTCTCCTCTGCAGCCCTCAGCTGAGCTGCCTGCCTCCCGGCTGTAATAGATTCTAAGGGCTTTCTGGAGAGTGAGTGCAAGGCGGAAGCCTCCACACCCATGCCTGTTCAGAATGACCTGGTTTCCAAACGTTAAATGTGAACCACTACACAGCCAGCAAGCCTATCTAAAATAAAAGACTGCAAAAACAAAAGCAGGAAATTGGGTATCTGCACACCGATATCCATAGCAGCACTATTCACTATTAGCGAAGGGCAGAAACAATGTCCATCAACTGATATAAGAGAAACAAAGGAGCATGTGCATGCCTTTGAATACTACTAAACTTTCAAGAGGAGTGAACTGTAACAGGTACAACCCTCCTGTGCGCTGGCTGGCGGTGGAGGTGTAAAATGGTGCTTCCTCAGAAAAGAATTACAGACTTTCCTTAGTATCCAGCGTTTCCACTCCTAGGTATTAACTTGAAATCAAATAAACACAGGGTCTCAAAGAGATGTTTCCATACGTTTATAGCAGTGGGTAGCACACTGAAGACACCTCTGTTAATTCTTTTCCTCGTTTCTGGAGCCAACACTGAATACAAGCAGTGTGACAAAGCAAGGATCAGTGTGGCTCGGGGTCTAAGGTGGGACACAGTCATCACAGCAGGGAAGGCAGGGCAACGGCAGGGCAAGGCGGCTGGGTGGGCTGCACCTGCAGTTGGGAAGCAGAAGGAGAGCCAATGCCCTGAGAGCTTTCTCCTTCTCCTTCAGCTCGGGTCCTCGGCCTACGGGATGGTGATAGCCACATTGGAGGCTGGTCTTTCCTCCTCAGTTAAACCTTTCTGAAAATACCCTCACAGACACGCCCATGCTTGTCTCTTAGATAATTCTAAATTCTATCAGGATAATAATCAAGAGTAACTCCCAGAAGACCGCCCCTTGTCAACTTGATACCCGAATACGTCACTTCAAAATTATAATATTCCATGCTTGCTTCTCAAAGGCTCATGGCCCTCTCACAAAATACAATGCATTCACTCCAGCTCCAGAAGTCCTCATCATCTTTAACAGTGCCAATTCTGTCCAAAGTCTCTTCAAAGACTCGGGCAACCCCTTTATTGTGAGCTCCTGTTTTTGCTTTTTAAGTTGTATATTTCTAATTTACATTGGCGTAGGACACACATATCCATTCCCAAAGAGAAGAACAGGATGGCAGTAAAGAAAGATAGGATAACGCAAGAATAAAACTCAGAAGAGCAAACACCAAACTTTGCAGACCCATATCTGGCATCTGGGACTGGTATGTCACCGTGTGGCTACCAACGGGCATAGACAGCTGTGATGGCTATTCTTGGTTGTCAACTCGACTGCATCTGGAATGAACTAAACAACGTCTCTGGACACACCTGTGAGGGGTTTTAAGTTAACTGGATAATTTAGCTAGGGAGACCCACCTTAAATCCAGATCAGGTGAGGTGGAAAGACCCGCCACTCCTGGTGTCAGATCTGTATTAGGCAGGGTTCTCTAGAGCAGCGCTTCTCACCTTCCTGATGCTGCGACTCTTTAACACAGTTCCTGGTGTTGTGGTGACGCCCAATCATAAAATTATTTGTGTTTCTACTACATAGCTGTAATTTTGTCACTGATATGAGTCATAATGTAAATGTTTTCAAAGATAGAAGTTCATCAAAGCGGTCCAGATCCACAGGTTGAGAACAAACTGCTCTAGAGGCCTAGAACTTATAAATTGAATCTCTCTGTCCATATGGGGAGGAGACATTTTTAGAGTGGCTTACAGGCTGTGGTCCAGCTAATCCAACAATGGCTGTCTCCCAAAAGAAGGTCCAAGAATCCAGTAGTCGTTCAGTCCATGAGCCTGGATGTCTCAGCTGGTCTTCAGTATATGCCAGAATCCTGAAGGAGTAGGCTCCAATGCTGGTGAAGCTAGAGCAAGGGCGAACAAGGAAAGAGCAAAAGCCTCTTTCTTCCTTTTCCTTTATATAGGCTGCCACAAGGAGGTGTGGCCCAGATTTAGGGTGGGCCTTCTGACTTCAAATGGCCTGTACTTAAGGTGAGTCTTCCTACCTCAAATGATCTGGGATTAAGGCCGATCTTCTTAGCTCAAGTGATCCAGTTAACTAGAAATCCTTCACAGGTGTGCCCAGAAACTAGGTTTTTAGTTAATTCCAGATGTGAGCAGGTTGACAAACAGCAGCCCTACTTCTCCAGTTCTGCCACCTGTAGTATATGCAGCCTCTCTTGGTCCAGCTCCAACTCCATCCCAAAGCTTTTCTCAGTGGTAGTTCATAGTCCTGGCCTCCAGCATCCTGGAGTCTCTATTGAAACTTGAACTTGCTGCATGCAGTGGCCTCTCAAGAGAATCCAATGCAGCTGCATGTTTGCCTGGGCGCCAGTGGTTTCTGAGGCTTTCATGGAAGCCTCCATGACCTTGCATGCCTGTAAAGCCAGCACCAAGTAGATGACATAGCCAAGCCCTGCTGCCCGCTCCAGAGGTAGTGTGACTGCACTGAACAGCAGCTACAATGGTTTCTGTGCACATTAGCTGCCAATCCTGGAAAAGCACTTTCCTAGACAGCTGGTGTGGCCTTTTCAGTTCAGGCTCTCTTCTTTCAAGTGAATTAACATCTTCCCAAGTTTAAGGCTTAAATGGGTGGGGTCTTGTCCTTGGGGCACCTTTCCTATTGTCCTAGCACAGAGCACAAGGACTAGGCTAATCTCTAACAACTGCATATACTTTTACTGCATCCTCCTGTTGTGGAATATTAGTTGAAGATATATTTGTTTATGCTATGGAACATTTGTTTAATGATGCCAAGATGTGTTGCATTCTTTTATGCTGCATTTGTTTAACTCTGTGAAGCTGTGTTACTTTGCCTGTCTAAAACACCTTATTGGTTTAATAAAGAGCTGAATGGCCAATAGTGAGGCAGGAGAAAGGATAGGTGGGGCTGGCCTGAAGAGAGAATAAATAGGAGGAGAAATCTGGGAAGTAAGATGAAGGAGCAAGAAAAGGAGAAGCAGAAGAGAACATCAGGGGCCAGCCAGCTGCACAGCCAGCAACAGAGTAAGACAGAAAGAAAGAAAGGGATATAGAATAGAGCAAGATAAAAGCCCAGAGGCAAAGGGTAGACAGGCTAAGAAACAAGCCAAGCTAAGGCCGGGCTTTCATAAGTAAGAATAAGTCTCCATGTGTGTGATTATTAGGGAGCTGGGTGGCAGGCCCCCCAAAGAGCCAAAAGAGTAAAAAAAAAAAAACAATCAACTATACCTTCCTTGTCTGTAACTTTAATCTCTGCTCTCTTTATATATACAGTTCTGAGCAAGAGATAGCAGCAGTAACCAGTCCATAGCCCAAATGCTGTGCTGTCTACAAAATTCTGCTGCCAAAGAAATCAGCTCCTTGCTTATGAATTTAGCCTCATTCAAGTTCCCAGGGCATGGGCAGAAAGTAGCATGAACCGCCCATAGGCCAGTTCCTCAGAGTGTCTTTGTTCTCCACTGAAACCTCACAATCTGGGCCTCTACTGTTCCCATTTCTGTTAACATGCAGGGCTCCCACACTCCCACCAGAATAACCCAGTAAGCTCTGTTTACAGCATTCTAGAGCTTCCCTAGCTCACAGGTCCAAACTCTTCCAAATTCTTCTCACAAGACTAATTCAAGGCATAGGATCCAACAGCAACACCCCCCACTTCTAAGTGCCAGTTTTCAATCCAAGTGTCCATGGAGAGAAGAAAGAAGAACAAAATGTGATATAGATGACTACACAAAGAAATGCATAATGGAATAGTACTCAGCCTTAAAAAAGGAGATATAAGGACATAACCTTATATCCATTAGCACATCATGCTGAGTGAAAGAAGTCAGGCCCCAAAAGACCAAGACTGCAGGGCTCCACTTACATGAGCTACCAGGAGGAGTCAAACTCATGGGGAAGAAATAGAATGGTGGAGGCAGAAACTTGGAGAAGTTAGGGAACTGGGGTATGCTATGGATGGAAATGAAATGTCCTCCCCCACCCCAAAAAGAGAAATCTGGGGAAAGTTTGGCAGCAGCCTTGTTACTATGGAAACAAGGTGTGGTCTTTAAGAGGTGTAGCCTGCTTATAAGAAGTTAGGTTCCTGGGGTTGTGCTTGGGATAGATTTGGGGATCCCATGCCTCTTCTCTTGCTTTGTTTCCTAGCTGTCATGAACAAGCATCTTTGCTTGACCAAGAGCTCCCCCATGATGCTCTGCCCTCACCACAAGCCCAGCACAGAAGAGCCGGCTGGGCTCTGGTTGAAACCTGAGAAATAGTGAGCCATGGCAAATTTTTCTTTTTCAAGTCAATCAGTGACAGTGACAGAAAGCTGACTAATGTAGGGTGTTGTTGGTGGATGGGCGCAGAATCTTAATCTCACAAAATGAGTTCTGAAGGTGAGCGGCGGTAAATGGGGATGAGCAGTGAGGATTGCTTACTATCACTGACTGGTTAACTTAAAATGGTTCTAACGGTAAATATGTGT